TGGTATTAATGGTCACCTACCTTCAACTGAACTCCGTACTTATAGTATACAGACACGTCCTATTTTAAAGACCATAAAAAGAGAAAGAGTATATCTCCTTTTTAAAGTACGTTACGCACGCATTCAATTCTTTTGATTAAGTTAATATGGAGATGGCCAGAAGATCACGCATAGATCGTAGCGATTTTTAGTAACAAGTTCACTTTTGTAACGCTAGATGGCGCCATACCACAACATTGGTATAATCGAAAAGTATAACGGGTGCTAAGCAATTTGTGGTCAACGACCGATGAATCAGGTTTGACCCTCCTAAGCTACAATAGCTTACTTGTCTACAATTATCGTAAGCTAATAGCTAATTACTAAAGTGCACTGCTGTTCTTCTTGTGGGAATGATTTGTTTGTATTTTGTATCAATCGATCTGTAGTATTGATTAGTACATTATACGTATACAATTTGTAACTTAACACAGTTATAACTTTAGTCTACGGTTTCTGTTCTGTCAAGGAAGCTGCTGGTTCTGACTGTAGTTTACGCGAGTAGTACACGTTAAAATGAAACACTTTAATGCTTTAAAACGCGATATGTAAAGTTAAAGTTATTTAAAATTTCTTAAAGCCTAATAATTGTTAATTTGCAGCCAAAACGTTGGGCCGTAGTTAAAAAGCCGTTAATGTGTTTTATTTAAATAATCTGATGGTATTATTGTGTCTAAAAATTTCGATTAAAAATTATGTTTGGTATTAGTATATATTTCTATCACTATTATTCTCAGTATTATTTTTTTCAGGTTAGGCAAATTGGATTTACTTCTGGTTAAAAAAAATCGTTCGCGAAATGGAATTATGACCTCTCTCTCTCACTTACTAATTAAGGTAAAATGGTTTACAGCTTGAAAGTTAAAGCAGCAGCGTGTATCATTGTGGGTGCCGGTTCAAGTCCCGCCCGTGTCAGCGTTTCTCTGAATCTAAATAACTTTTTATTTTTATATTATAGCATTATGTGCAATAATAAATGTAGGTATTGCTATAATATATATCTTCTTTTAATAAAGTTCCCAGTTCTTTATAAAATGGTAAGATGAAAAATTCCTCTGGTAAGTCTAAGCGATCATTCTAAATGAAAAAGTTCATGTCCCCAAGAGATTAGCTGGATGGATATTAAACTCGCTATGCGCTACTTAGAGTAATTCAATTTGAAAGGCATGTTAAAAATAATAAGACGGCAGCTTAGCTCTAAACGTGGAAGCTAGAATATTGTAAGGCTTATGCCTCCGGGGAGTCGTAGCATCGGCTACGAACCGTAGCGTCGTAGCAGCCACGCTAACGATGATAGACATACAAAGTTATAGAACCTACACGCTTAGTTGAATGTTAAGAAAATCTTCTATTAAATGCGATGAAAATGTTTTCTTGTAGCTTTAAATTAATCTTATAAATCTATTTAAATAAAACACTTTAACGGTTTAAAACGCGATATATTTTAGTTAAACTTGTTTGAAAATTATTTTTAACTACGGCCCGAGGAGTTTTGAGGAGCCGTGGTCACGGGGAGATCAAAACGTCGGGTCGTAGTTAAAAATAATTTTCAAACAAGTTTAACTAAAATATATCGCGTTTTAAACCGTTACAGGTTGTATTTACATGTATACTACTCGCGTAAAGTAAAGACATTAGTTATAAATCTAGTTAAGAAAAATAACTATATAACTGAATCGACTTTAATTTCCCATGATATTTGGTAAAAAATAAATTAGCTTAAAAATCCTTACAATAACACAGTGCTTACATCAAAAAATCTGACTTCAGAATTCAAACTAAGTACTAAAAAGTACTGACAGAGATTAAGACTTATTATTATTTACTGGGTTATGTATAAATCTCATATTTCTTTATCTTTTTTTTTATCTAGAGAATTCTTAAATGAATACATGGGCTGGAATAACCCACCATGCCTAATAAATAAGTGCGTCATCTAAATAAATGTGTAGCGACCTGACGAAGCTAATCAGTATCGTTCATCGCCCTACGTTGCCGGTAGTTGGATTTCTTGAACCGTGAAATTTTATCAAGAGAATTAATCTTCTGAAACTTTCCCCTTGGACATCGTATTCTTTTACTTTTTAATCAGGAGGAAATTGATTTTAGCTTTCTGTAATTTTCTAGTTCTGTTTTTAGTTGGTGTATACTTTTTTGTCGTGATTTTGTATTAGTACACTTTGAGTTTGTGATATGTTAAGAAGTTAATTATATATTATATTATCTAAGCTGTAGAAGGAATAAGTTTTTTTTTTTAAATTTAGTATATTGTGTTTTGTTTTCGATCTTTTAAGTTAGCTTGATATTCCCTAATTTGAATCGTATAACATTTAATTTACGAAATAAATTAAGTATGACACAAATTAAAAAGTCCTTTAAGTATAATCGCGTTTTGGTCCTATTCTATCTCTCTAGAATTATTAAGGGATTATTAACACTCATTTATTTTTAATGGCATGATGTGTCTTTAAATAATCTATTTTATTTATGATAAAAAAATATATTCATTCATACATAATATATAATTATAATATTGACTTTGTTTTAAATGTTATATTGTTTTAAATGATACTAGTGTCATCTGTATCCTTATAGTTGGTACTTTTAGAGACATTGTTAACTAAACTAAATTAACCATTACTTATTCGAATTTTATTAATAAGCATTTTAAACGGTAAAATATTTAAATAAAACACTTTAAGTTTAAAACCTTATGGTCAATTAGTTAAACTTATTTAGAATTTTAACTCTTTCTTCTAAGTAATTGTACTACTCGCTAAACTATAGATGGTAAAATAGGTTTTTAGGAGCAACAAAGTTATATTGAATAAATAGCTTTATCTTTATCAGAACGAGAAAGTGTAAAGTTATTAAGAAGGTTTAATTCCTACATGCAAAAGGCGTGTTTTTTTTATGTGACTAAGACTTTATTTAATTGTCATGTTATTTAGTCTGTATTTGGTATATTAAAGGGAAAAATATTAATATACAGTGAAATTAATAATACATGAAGATAAGGAAAATGGACAATATTTTCTCGAAGCAAAACCTAAAACTAAGTCGATTTTCAATAAAACACTTTCCTTTTTCTCGTATGAACAAAAATAAGGTTTTGTTTGGAGCATCTTAAGGTCGGGAAGAGTGAATATTTTATAAACCTGTTATTGCTTTTGGATATAATAAATATGGCCGGACGGTCAGAGAAATCTTATTTGAAATATCGAAACATCATACAATATTTGTTGAAGCAAACAACATTTCCGAACATGTTATTTGCCTTTGTTTAGTATTATTATGAGATAGAAAGATAAATATCATTTTGTATGTATTGTAAGATAATACCTAATTAAAGAGTAATTTTTTTTAAATTTATTTATTAAAAACCAATCACACATCTGTACATAATATGAATTCTTACATGATAGTAAGAAATAACTAAAATTTAAATATATCTTTTAGATAATATACGATATCATACTACATATATTACTACTACATATACGTTATTGACCTTATGACATCGCTCACCGTACAATTAAAAATGTCTATTTTACAATTTACACTGTTAAGAATGTAAAGTGCTCGCATAATTGGGGAAAAATACATTAAGTTTGTTCGCGCGGGACTGATGGCGAACAGTGATCTATTACGTAGAACCATGCGGTCACATGTGATGTCTTTCAGCATCTTCAACACATACGTGGCCATAGCTAGTTGCCTTCAGGCTTCGAGCTTGACGTATCCAACCCTGCCTAACACGAATAATGACGGATACATAAAGTAAGGTCGGGGTGTGTAATGCCTTTCGAATAAGTGTCTTGTTAACTTATTATGAATACTCTCTAACATACCGTTATACTTAGCTTCGTGTGGCGCCCACACAATGTCGTTGGATTCCAGCTGGCTTCTTATTAATGCGTTATACAGCACTGTGATGAAGGTAGACGCTCTCCGAACGACAAACCCCAGTCGCTTATAAGCTTTTACGTCTACGGTAACTCCGAGATAACGCACAGATTGCGGAGTCAATGTGAGGAATCACGTACGTAGCTGTATTTAGCAAGTTGCTGGTCGTACTTCGTTTTGGCCTAAACCCATGCTGTGAGTCAGATACGAACACACTCTGAACGACTCCATATTTTTACCGCCGTCGATTTTAGGTATCGGTACAACCCGGTAGTTTTCCAGGCATCCGGGAATTGTGACCGTTCAAGACATAAGTTGTAAACATGGAGAAATGGCTCGGCCAATACTAACCTGCAGTCGCGAAACAAAAAAGGCGGAATTCCATCTGGTCCCACGGAGCTTTTTGGCTTCGGCCGAGCGAGTGCAACTGGGCCAGAGACAGTTCGGGTACGTGAACACGAGCACTACCGCCACCACTAACCCTCACCGCTTTGTCAACATCGAGTCTCGCTGGTTCGTTATTGTAAACAGAATAAAAATATTTCGCACATACCGTATATCGAATTCGGTATGTGCGAAACTGCAAACCGTTTTTACAAACCGTTTGTTTTTGTGCAGATGATTTTTTTGCTCCGATATATTTCCAAAAAGATTTAATGTCTTTAATTAAATTGTTTTTAATTTGTTGTTCGTATATCTAGATTGTCTTTTTTAGATTAGACTTAACTCTCATTCGACAAATTGCAAAAGCATTATAATCCGTATCCGATCGACTTCATTTATACTGTCTGTGTACCTTAAGCCTTATATCATTAATAATATCGGTCGTATAACATTCGGGATAGCTATATTTATGATTTTTCGCGTTAGACTTTCTAGGCACATGCATGCCTGTCTAGAATATTATTCAAAATATCATATAACACTGCGAGGGCGTCCTCCGGGTTATAAATGCCACCCCAATCGACGAGAGTCAGTGAGTGATATAATGAAACAAAATCTGTTTTATAGAAATTCCAAGATAATTTACTCTTACCTGTAGACGTGCTACTTTCCTAATTATGCAAAGCGTCCCGTCCTATCCTGGTACAGCGAGGGTAGTGCAGCTCAATCATGAGTGGGTCCACCGGCACCAAGGGCTCGTCCGCCTCCTTCACCGACATTTTATCACACAGTATGACGAGCACAACACTAGATCTAGTTGCCTATCATTACAAACAAATTAAAATCGCCTAGGAATAACACTTTTTCGTATTTTTCGTATTACACAGTTGTTCTAATAAACTTAAGCATAACACATAATCGTTCTCACTGATTTTAGGAGGTAGATATACTTGTCATTGGAGTGAACGATCGCACAGACTAGTTCGAACGAGTGGCGATGTACCGTGACGTCATCTAGTTCGCATCGGCTCACTCTATGTATTTGTAAACCGCGCGCGGCCACTAGAAATGCACCGTCGTGTTTACGACAATCAGTACGGTCGCACCGAACAATTTGGTACCTTGCCGGTATAATTTCGCCGTCCATTATCGAGTCATTACATCCAGTTTCCGTTATAGCAATGATATCAGCTTCTAAATATTCTATGTTGCGACAAAAACTGTTCAACTTAGTTCGAAGGCCATTCTGATAATAGATAGTTAAATGAGCATTATATAATTTCTTCGGTTGATTTGCTTTTTGATTTACGAAACCTATACCACTGAGAAAGTTCTGCGTGAATAGACGAAACTTCCGGCTTGCATAACTTCTGATACACTGATTTTGAAGCGGTGATAATAAAAGAAGAATAGCTTATTTTCCGTTTATGTTTTAGTTTAATAATCTTTGTATCAAGATCCGATCCACATATTTTTGTACATAAGTTGATAGATAGCTGATCCAATGTGGTATCAGTTAACAATCGCCAAACATGTAGATGCTTTATTTTTTTTTAAGCCTGAATCTCAAGCAAAGTGCAATTTTTTCCTCGCATTAAATGCAAATTCTGACTTTCTCTTGGGAAATATTTTTCTTATTCCTATCCTACCTTTACGGTCTCTAGATCCACGTATTGCAATTGGAGATCCTTTAGGTTGCGTTTTGATTGTCGCTGAGCTGATTTTCGTAGTTTTCGTGGCCTAACTAGTACGCGGTACAATACAATCGCCTACCTGCCTCGAGTTTTGAGCAATTTTAGCAAATGATGGTGTTGGTATATTTTCGCTCCACTTGTCCGACGTGTCCTCGGTACGAGTAGACTGCAAATTATTTAAATTAAGAGCACGATTGATATTTCCACTATTCTCTTTATCACTTTGTTCAACTACCGACATATACTTCGTTTTAATTTCGTGCAATTCCGATTTCAGGGAAATACACAAATCCGAAGATCCATAATAACTTTTGTCTGCATGTCCATTTTCCTGAAACACAACAACAACACACAAAAACACTTGCGACCGAAAGAACGAACGATCGATGAAATTGTCAACGATGTAGAGTTATGTCAACTATACAATAAATATTAAGGTCGAATATTTAGAACTTAGGAGTCAGGACTACCTCTTACTTTGAGAGGAATTCTTGAGTAACATACATCAGAAACTTAACTTTAAATTTTATATAATTAAATAAATCTTTATAAATATACTAGCTAAGCCAGCGGCTTCGTTCGCTAAGAATATTTATTTTGAGCATATAAATTAGTTTTTGCAAACTCTTTTATTCCTTCCTTAAGTTTAAGCTGTTACCCACGACGTCGGTTGCGTCCTTCTCGTCGGTCTTGCCAGTTAATGTTAAATGATAGACATATAACGTCGCGGTCTTTTTTTAGATCATTTAAAGAAGAATCATTCTCTAATACATATTTTATACCTTGCAGCGTACGCCTCGGAACATTATTTAATGTATACTGTTAGAGGAAAGTACAGACAATTCCTAATATAATATAATTCAGACTTTTACTAATAATATCAATATAGGGTTGTTTTCTTTAGCAATATACTCTGTGAGAAGTACATATTATGCACTAACATCGTTCAATGTCAGTTAACCCGTCGCCGATCCAAGATCAGTCAACAACTTATAAAAAATTCATGACTATTTTATTCATTCAGGACGCTCGGCTGAACTTCACGATATCCCCGACAACCATGATTTGGTTATACACTTTTCGAGACACATTTTTTTATATAACACTGAATTTAAAGGAAGTGTTCAATTCAAAGAGTTAATACGGAAGTCATCTGTTATGTCGTTCAACATTAAACTTTGATATATATTTAAAATAAAAAGAAAAAACATATTTAAAATGTTACGCTGCAGCTCAGAATTTCAAGTATAGAACGTTTATAGCTAGTGTCAATGATTCGATTCCCGAGTGAGTCAGTTTTTAATTGTGTTGACTTGTAAGATTCGCCAATCAATTTTATTTACAAGGCAGTAGATATTATTTCCTGAATACGAACCTGAGAACGGAGAGTTAAACGCAATGCAATGTAATAGTCAAAATAATTCATCTGAAACGTCGGGTCGTTAAATAAAATTCTAAATAAGTTAACTAATATATATCTTAAAAGAACCTTCGCTTAGCTTGTGATATATTTATTTAATTTAAAAACATAAAACAGTATTCAGTACTAAACATTTTCAATAGTTTTTATTTGTTACTACTTTAAATTATTAGAGATACATTGATGGGACGCGTCATTTCCTCATCCGTATTTTCTTTTCATCGAGCCTATTTTTCCGTTCGGAAAACGGTCGTCGAATATCTGAAAATCCTCTGAGAGATGTCTAGAATTTTCATTACCAGAGGACGGATGAGACGGTGGGATCGACAATCTTTTGGGGCGCGAGGATTATAAATGCAAGAGCGAACGCTTTATTGCCAACTTATCAAAAATATTTTCAAGAGCAGAATTTTCAATTACGTCGGCATGTAACGGCTTTGAGTCTCGGATACATTGAAATTCAGTATTTATCATTATTGTTTTGTTTATTTAAGTATTTATATCAGAGACATACAACAAGACAGATACGCGTGGAGTTTACTTGAAAGTAGGTAAAAATACCAGCCAAATCTACAGAAGATGCCTTGTCGACTTATTTTGGCTTTGGACATTTGGAATCCACAGACTGAAGCCGAAACATAATTACACTTCACGATTTTTTTCAACCCCCTTTTTATAATTAGATTTTTCAGAGTTCAAAGCGAGTTCTAAGTAATTTTTATTTATAAATAGATTTTAAAAACATGTACCTACTCTGCGAAAATCTATCTATCAAACGAGGCCTGTAAAACGTTTTGTTATTATATATGTTGGTGAGTTTAGTACAATTAGAAAAATAAACAAATTTAAAATAAACAACATATACACGTTTTACTGTTTTGCACCAGCCGTGGTCACGGGGGGACAGAATAAGCAGGGTGTCACTAATGTCAAAGTAGAAACTGCTACGCTGCGCCATCTGTTTCATCTTATTAGGTATTTGGCAAAAATGGCTGGTTCCTTGCAGAACTGACTAACGGTGTTTCGCGTATACCGGTAAAACACCCAAAACTCCGTATAATTAATAAGTTGTATACATTTCGCGTTTTAAGCCGTTAAAAGTGTTTTTTAGAAATTTTACTCCTCGTGTAGATTACAGACAGAACTTAACTCCAACTTATCTATTCAGTCAACGTTTTAATTCATTTCCTTGATTCACTGTTAACAAAATTTTGCGTCCGACAAAATCATTTTCAATTACGCGCAGTCGGCGTCTGCGCTGGGATTTTGCGCAAATTTTTCATTAATATTACATCAGACAAGCGCTTTACGACTATTTGCACAAAAGGCAACTCCATTAGCGAAATGAGAATCGCGGGATGAATAGAGGTCATTGAAGAGTCGTGTGTCACAAAGGTGAAAGGAAACGGTGAGCGAGCGGAGACATTTCGAAGAGGGAGCTTCAAGATGTTTTATATTTGTACTTTGAAATATTCGACTTTTATGAACAACCTTTTTCATTTCAAACTGTAGATAAACTAAAAAATCGTAGCTATATGCTACTATTCAATTACAGTCCACTTCTACTGCCTAGTCCAGTATCCAAAACCAGGAGTCTATTTTTAGTCGATCTGTACAAATTGTCATTTTTTTACTTATGACATTAAAAAGAAGTGAAAACAGTTTCTAATATTTATTTTGTAGTATCTGAATTGATTTTGTAAATTAAAAACTATTTTTTTTTATTATTTGACTTTACGGAAAATCTTTTTTTTTATTTAAATTAGTCGTACTTAGAAATGAAATGGTTTCAACCCTTCATCGAAGGGAAAAGATAAGCTATTGATAAAATAAAGTAAAATATACTTTATTATCTTTAAAATTTAAAAAAATATTTAGATTCGTCGATTTTTTTTTGTTTGTCAGTCTGTTCAATGTATTTGTAGAACCTGTTTTATTCAATCCTTTTTTGTATCTAAGGACCTTTTCATATATAATAAACATATAATTGGAATAGACTAAGCTGTCAAAAAAATGGTGTGCAGTTCGCAGTTCTATCTTTTGTTTGTTACATTGTTCTGTTATTATCTTACTAAGTTATAAGCTGAGTGAATTAAAGTAGACTAATTTAATAGTTTACGCGACTAGTACACAGTAGTTGAAATAAGTAAAACGGTTTAAAACCCGACATAAATTAGTTCGAATCGTTTCGAATGCTTTGCAGCAGTATAGTAAAGACCCCGTCGACGAGTGAATTTAGACTAATTAATCTAAAATGTCTTTGTCAGAGTACTTCCACAGATAATAAAGGTAGAAGGTTTTACTATTGTAATACTTTCCAAATATCAAAATTCGTACTTCTAAATATTGGGTCCTAGCAAACACACACAGTAAAAATCTAGGAATGCTTTCCTAGCGTCCTAGTTTGTAGAATCAATACAGAAACACAATGGCTATACTCCTACAGTGCAGTTCAGGAGCACATTCGGATGTACGATAACGAATGCAATTTTCCGACTACGTGAACATGAAACCTCTTGGTCTTTTGAGCTGGAGCTCTGTATTTCAGATCTTATCAGGGGGTATTAAATTATTATGGAGATATTCAAAATTAGTTTTTTTAGGCTATAGATGCCGTTTGGTACACAAATATGATTGGATTTGCTCTGTCATAATTAGTCAGTTGACAAATTAACTTAACACTACGCAATTTTAATAATATTAAATACTTTTCACATGTACGCGAGGGCACTATATAAATTAAAAATTAATTAGAAATTGAAAAAAAAATAGTACACGGGCAGCCGGCAAACGTACAGACGTAGAGTACGGCACGCTGTGGCGATGGTGGCTATGGCTACAGTTCGAGTCCTGCAGTGTAGTATTTTTTTTTATTTACGATTTTTTAATTATATTGCGCCATAATGTGCAATATAAAACTCGCGTAAACTACAAATAGTATTTAAAAAAACGTATTACACCGACAAGACTTGAACCGGCGTTCACAGCGTTCCGTGCTTTAACCAAGTGAGCTACCGTGTCATATATTTTTTTAAATCTAAACAAACTTTTAAATAAAACACTTTAATGGTTTAAAACGCGATATATTAGTTGAACTTATTTGTTGTGTGTAAACAAATAAGTTTAACTAATATATCGCGTTTTAAACCGTTAAAGTGTTTTATTTAAATGTGTACTACTCGCGTAAACTATAGACAAACTTGTAATTATATTCACATTGAAAATACTTACTACATAAGTATTCGAAGAATAAATTATATACAACGTTATATGACACTCGGAGTTGTAAACATTTGGTATAATCATCGAATTTCTGTAAATCGATGCTTATTCCCTATTTCATAGCCGATATGTGGGCGGTTTGAGGTGCCTCTTGACAATAGAACTAATACCCCCGGGATCAGTATTTAGTGCAGATAAGCCCCTTTTATAGAAAAATGAACAATGGAACTTCTATGTAAATTAAACGAAGGGTAGCTAATGTACACAGTAACACATTATCCTAGTTAAGTACAAAAGATTTGGAACGGCAAAATTATATGTTAAATCCGACCAAATGTTCCAATCGATTCTACTAGTTCAATTAAATCAACTGGTATGGATTAACTGCTGACCATAAGTAGATTTTTTCATTATTGTAAATTTTGTGAAGTGACAAACTCTTCTATTTCTTTTTAGTAAACATTTTGTCCTTTATTGTAATGTCTCATGACGGTTTAAGGAACCAGTTACTAGAAGTCCTCTTACAGTTACCAATGAATTAAAGTTTCGTAAATATTTTATAATATATTAAAAGTTTAAATTGATATTTTCCTACTTTAAGCTTAGTCCATCTCAAAAAATGTAATAGTAATGAATTACAAACGTTGTGCTTCTATGATTTTTAAGTATGGAGTATCGTCCCTTGGAAACACAATTATTTTTATTGTATTAGATATTATAAAAATTCAAACAAAATACGCCACGCTTACCATCTTCTGTCGCCCCCGTGACCACGGGTGCTGTAAAGCATTTGAAACGTCTGACCGTAGTAAAAATAAGTTAACTTTTATATTTCACATTTAAACCGTTAAAAGCGTTTTATTTAAACACGTTAGATACGTTAAGCACACGAAATCTAAATCTCATTATCCGCCTACATTTGAATATTCCGAATTCGTACAGAGCAGAAAATCTGGTGCGTATAAAAACACGTCTAGCGAAACACGTTTGAATAGTATATTCAGGTATTAGCCTCGGAATCGATGGGGCGTCGGGGGCCCGAAACTTTCTAACGACATAACCGCGTGCAATTGATATGCCCCAAGAGTAGGCCCATTGTAAAGAAAGGAAAATCCCGATCCGAAAATCTCGCGAGGAGTCCGCATCAGTATTCGTAAGATGTGC